AAACAGTCATAGTATAGCATGCCGAAAACAGTCGTAGTATAGCATGTCGTAAAAAATATAAAAAAGTCATAGTATAGTATGTCGTAAAAATATGTCATAGTACAGCACGTTGAAAAAAGAGCCATATTCAAGAATTCAAGGATAATTTATTGTCTTTATGCAACAATCAAATGCATTTGTAGCCCATTTTCAACACAAAAACAATTCTTTGGACAGATAATATGGCTGGTATCTTAACATTAAAATGTCGATATCGGAAAAACATTTTCCATCAACTTTACAATATGTTTGAGCACCATGCGTCATTGATGTAAACAGTCAACCTCTTGTCCCACCGTAGACTTGTTTTGCAGTCTCCCATTGAGTGAGACTTGATGTGGGCTCAGTAGACACCAACCTCCTGTCGCTGGGTTTGCCTGAAGTCTTATTTTCCTGCGACCGAACATCAGACTGCCAAGAGTAATTTAGGTGGTAGAGGCATAGGTCAGGGGAGTCAAACTCATTTTCACATCAGCATCATGGTCGCCCTCAAAGGGCCAGTTGTAAATGTACCTACTCCTAATATATTGGTAAATAGCTCTCTGCATTTGATTAGTTTATTCAAGTGTGAAAATATTGTACATCGTTATATAAAAGTATGTTTAAGCACATTTCTGTTATAACTCAAATCCCTTTAATTTAGGGTTAAGAAACCCACATTACTCTATCAAAAATCAAACTATTAAAGACAAATATCAAACATGTTATTACAATATCTTTGTTCAATGCTTAAAATCCTTTCAAGGGTGCGTTTGCACAATCCCACGTGAAGTATTTCATCTGTTGTAAAGCCACGTTTAAAGTAGTCTTCAATGTACAGTAACCAGCCAAAGAGCTGCTTTTATGACTGTGTTTAAGTATCTCATAACTTCGACTGTGGGGATATTTTTATTATCAAGTCTAACTTCTTTTTGCTGGCTGATTCGCGGGCCACATACAATGACGTGAGTTTGACACCCCTGCCACAGGTCCTAGCTGGGTTAGCTTAGCTTCCATCTCGGCTCTCCTACCTTCGGCTGTTGGGTTGCGTTTGGTCCGGCAAGTCTGCTTAGGCAATTAATAGTATGTGGAAAAAAGTCAAAGTATATGTTGTAAAAATGGAAAACAGTCAAAGTATAGCATGTCCTGAAACCTCATAATAGAAGTGGATGATCACACACTGCTCTCATCTGGGAAGGAAAAAGACACCATCAATTCCACCCACATCTGTGCCTACTAATACAATATCTAATACTATTACGACAACATTTGCTACTGCATGCACAGGAAAACATGTATATTGTGACAATTTCCACGCCGGCAACCTTTCTATACAGAGTTTCTCATTAATTGCCAAAGTCTCTTGAAATATGTTTCACTTCTCACCGGTTCAGCTGGCTGGCCCTGTCCGGGGCGTTTACTCTGCATTGGTGCGCAACGACTGGCTTTAAAATTAAATTGATTGCAACCCCAGCTTTCCAGCAGCCTTTGCTACTTCCCCCTCCCCCTGCTGGGAGTGACGGCACCTCCTGTTATCAGGGGTGGACTGAGTCTGTGGTGATGTCGGCAACCCGCCCGACCTGTCGAGACACATGGACCCCGTCTCGTTGAACATGCTTTGTGAGTGGGACTTGTTGCAGTGTCATCACCAGTCATATCTATACAACCATTGTTTCGGATTCAATATTTAATAAACAGTGTAAAGTATTGCCGTCAAATATAATTAAAATTGTTTACCAAATGTATACTTAGTATGCATTTCAAATAATATATTTATCATAATTATTGATGTGTTCATCAATTAAATGTTTCAGCTAATTTTAACAACTTCATTCATTCATTATCCAAACCGCTTATCCTGTTCAGGGGCGCTGGAGCCGATCCCAGCTGACATTGGGCGATGGCAGGGTCCACCCTGGACAGGTCGCCAGTTCATCGCAGTGCACATGTAGAGACAGACAAACATTCACGCTCACATTCACACCTACGGGCAATTTCAAGTCTCCAAATGACCTGAGCTGCATGTCTTTGGACTGTGGGAGGAAGCCAGAGAACCCACACTGCAACGGGGAGAACATGCAAACTCCACACAGAAGGACCACCCGGGATCAGGGATCGAACCCGGGCCCCTCTTGCTGTGAGGTGATAGTGCTAGCCACTACACCACCGTGCAGCCTAGATTAACAACAATATACTAAACTAGGCTATATACATCATCGTGTAGTAGTTGATTTACATTTTGTATTTAGAATTTCCAAACTAGCAACAGATATTGTTAAATATGTGAAGTCAAAAGTGCAATATTTGTACTTAGTGACTGTTTATGAAAGGCTAAACATGCAGGCTGTAGAAATATTTAACTGAGGTCAAAAAACGGTTTGATCTCCAGTTTGCTGCAAACTAACATATTTTATGTTAGTTTGCTGCAAACTAACATATTTTATGTTAGTTTGCTGCAAACTAACATATTTTATGTTTGGTGCTGTTAAACATTCAAGGCTTCAAAAGTTCAAAAAGAGTCACATTCGGTAAGACCCGGCATCTAATTGGATCTCTGCTTTTAATTTAGGTTTTACAGTACTACAGCCTTTTTAAAGACACACTAATGTGACATAATATATTTTTCTGAAACAGTCAAAGCATCAAGACAATATTTTGCTTCACTGGTGTTCCCTGACCCTGAGTTCATCCAGCATCCACAGCTGGTCTTGGAGGCGGCCGAGCTGCTTCTGAAAAACACATTACAGACACACAATCCTTCAAATATAGAAGTCATTTCACTGTGGCTGTGTTCCTCAGGTCCACCTCTCCCTGACGTCCTGTTCTGCATCCAGTCTGCTGCTCCTCCTTGAAAATGAAAGAAAAGAAACTTCCATGTCTTTTGTTCTGTTCATTTCTGAACAGAACAAAAGACATGGCTGCAAAACACATCCTCCTTGCTGAGGAGCAGCTGAAGCCGACTGCTTCAGCACCCATGATGTAAAGGCCAATTTATGTTGTACTTGTTTGTTGGTGGTGTTGCCTTATTAAACGATGAAAAGCAGAATTAAAACCTTGTTTGAACCCCTCATTCCTGTTGTCTCTGCTAGCCTGCTGTGTGACCACAAACAAAAACACATGTTGGATGTTTGGTGTAAATAATTTAGGAAGAATCTTGAAGTGAAACTCGTCTTTGGAAACATTTCGGTTGTTTTATTAAACTTGTTTTCTGTAGCTTAACATATTTTTCATTACTTTATTCTGTTAGAACTGAAAAACTTTTTTTTTTTTTAAAGGCATATTAAACAAACTAAATGTAATAAACATCTTGGGTAACATTATTTGGAAGAAGTGAAGCCTAGGCTATTTTATATCAATTCAACCTCTGAGATGTGATCAAATTGATCCAAAAATTGGACTGGATTACCAACTCTGAATCCAAATCTTCAGGCTTTGAAATACCCAATTTTCAGATTATAATTTAACCCAATACAACCAACATAATCCTGAAAGACAATTTTAAAATAAGGGCCCCTGGACAACGATAATGATATTCTCAGGAAGTGTAAAATCCCACCGACTGTCCATGTCCATCAATTTAAGTAGTCCATAACGAAGCGAAAGCGGCTACTGAAATTACAATATTTTGCGCACTTCCATATAATAACACTACAGACAACTCAGCTGGAAATTAGAGAATATTCGTACCTCAGGGCTCCAGCACAGAGAAGATGTTCCATCAGTTGGTCTGTATGTTCCTCGTACTGCCAGATGTCATCCATTGAGGCTGCATGTCTAAAAGTATGTGACAGTAAGTAAAAGCACTCGTCATAACATGCAACACAACTGACAGTTTAAGTGAAAACCATAAAACAATGATACACTCTTATAAACGTTATAGTGAAAGGGGAGAATAGCATGTGTGAAAAACAGATACGTAGGATTTGGACAAACCTGAAGACTCCTCCGTAGTTCCCGCGGTCTGAGTAAACACCAGCCAGCCTGTATGAGGAAACGCAAAATGAATTAAGTTTTCAGAATTATGAGTTGACCATGTTGCTCACATTCAAACCAACCTGGAGTATGAAATAAAAAGTGGATACTTGCATTGATAAATGGTCCGTGCCGTTTCTGTGTATTTTGTCTTTAATTAATAACTTCAATACAATGGCGCTTGTATGAAAGAGTGTTTTCAGTTGGGATCTGGTGTCTGCCTACAACTCCAGCAATAATAGACTTTGTGGCCAGTTGTATGAGGGCGGTTTTAGATACAAAATACAGAATATTCTGTAGAATATGATGCTGCTGTGGTGCCGGGATGAAAGAATAGCTTGATAATTAATTGTCATCAGATTAAGTCACAGGGGCACGATGGATATTATGACCCACTTGTCATCTCACTTGAGTGACAGCTTTGATTATTAATAACACAATCACATTTGCATGTGTGAATTGATAAGTGGAAGATAACAGTCTGCCTGCTATGACCTTGATTGGTTTGCTGATCTTAGAAATAAAACGGATGGTGGCATATGTCATTAAATGCATAATTTTAACAATCAACGGAGGATTTTAGTCAAGTGAAAATCCAAAAGGTACCATTTTGGTGGATATTATCACGGCTTTTTCCTCAAATCCCCCACTTGATGTTTTCTTCAGTTTATGTGCTTTTCAATCAGAATTCTGAATATCAGATTTCTCAAATGAAGACAGCTATTGTATGGGGGGGGATTTGTCTCAAAATGTTCACAACTGTGGTATTACATAATCTACAAATGAAAAATAGGATTTGTGTGTAATTTTAGGTATTCACAGATGCATGTTCCGATCTACACACACATTCCAAGCAATTATAAAGTGTGAAACTGTTTAACAAATGTCTAAAACTGTTGTGACTCTCTCGTATTTATTTACAGATTGATAAATGTGTGCGCACAGATCGCCTGAGACGCAGGATTCAGGCACAAATGCATGCTGCGTATAAGTGCTGGTGGAAACCTGTAATTTCAAAGTGGGAAAAACGTTTTTATACATAGACAGAGTAGAACATACATTTACCAGCTACAGTACATACTCTGCACAGTAGCCTATGAATATAAATGTAAATATATAAGCTTCTGCTAGGTGGTAAATGTGGCAACAAGCAGATGACGGCTGAACTTAACCTTAACTACGCTACGGGAAACAGTTCAGCTTATTGCACGCTGCTTTAACAATGATTGAGTGATTCTATTCTTCCAAGTCAACATTTCAGATATAAATGGCAAAGGTTCCTGGAAAGATGGATGAGTATTGGGCTGTCTATAATCCGACCGTTACTAGCAACAACTGAAGTAAGCAATTTTGTCAAATAATTATCTTTTTGGAACAGACACACACAATAACGTGTGTATCTGAAATTGCATTTTTATTACCTAAAATAACAATTGTGGATATCAGTTCTGAGATTTCTACGAGTCACAATGTACTTTGGATATTACATTTTAGATATCTGGAATGTATTTTCTTTTTCATTTGGATGTCTGAAATTGCATTTACGCAATTAGTAACAGTTGGATTGTAAAAATGTGAGTTTTTCCTAAAAATTGTATTGTAAACAATCCTGAGATGTTCTTTTTTATAATTGAATTAGGTATATCTGCACATCCAGTCTAGCTATTAAATGTTAAAACAGGTTGCAATAGCTGAAATGTGTTTCCCTTCCATTAGAATTGTGTTTACCGTAGCGTAGCGCCCACCCTCGTTGCTTCAGGTTAAGTTCAGCTCACATCTTCTTTTCGTCCGGACTTCCCAGCAGAAGACCAAGTACACCACCTAGCAGTAGCTCATTTAAACAATAGATTTCCATTTATATCCAACTGTTTCAAGTATATAGTTGGTAAATATCTGTTCTAATCGAGAGCTGATGAAAAGTTTCTTTCTCACTTTGAAATTAAACGCAATTTTATTGAAAACCCAGATGTCCCAGGTTTCCACTAGCACTTAAACGCAGCATTTATTTGTGCCTGATCCATGCCCACACATTTAATCAATGCATCACAATATGTAAATAAATACAAAATAATGCAACAATACTTTTAACGATTATTTGTCATTTGTAGATAATGTCATTCCACATTTTTGACCGTTTTGAGAGTAATTTGACTTCATAGTCATATCACAGCTTCCTGTTCGGACATAGCAAAACATTTTTCAAGTGCCTCAACTAAATGTTTTTTTTTTTTAAATAATCATTGTACAACTTATTTCTGTGCCCTCGCTTTAATTATTACTTAAAAGTCAAGTGAGATATTAAATCCAAGCACACAATGGATTCCTCTTCCACATGCTGCCGCGCGGTGTGCAAGATGCAGACTATCCAACATTGGTGTGCAATAAAAACACTTTCAACAACAACAGAGTCCTCAGTTCTTTCTTAATGAGGCCTCTGGTGGCATCCTTATCTTCATTCTGTAGTAATGATCACATGGAAGGTTTATTAATCTACAACAGATTAGTCTGTCTCCATGCAACGGAGCTATAAAGGATGTGATATTGGAAGAACATTCCATTGTTGTTATTGTTTAATTCCATCACTTGATGTGTGGGACAAAACTTCAAAGTAAGTGACATTCACAATCTTAAGAAGACTGGAATTGGCTTTTAAAACAAGGCTCGGCTATCTCTCAGTGTAGCTGCATCCCGCTTGGTCCTCTATAGGCATCAGTAATCACCTTTTGGCGCACCTAATCGGGTGCTTAGCAGCTTAATGATGGCGACTGCTCTTGTTAAAAAGGTACCCTGTGGAGTGCTCATTGTAAACAAACTCTTTTATTTAAGTCAACATTTCATTAAAGTATTACAGGCAGGTTTAATGCATTTCCAACCTCAAAACAAGGTCTACGAACAGTTATTTCCACCATTGATTCACTGTTTTGAATTATGATGGATTAATGGTTTCAGATATGAAATGCATTGCATGCATTGATTATTTTCTCCATCAGAGGAATCATCCATCTAGTCTACAATATTTCCCAGAGAGCAGGTCGACATTGAAATGCTCTTTTTGTCGAACCAACAGAATGAAACTAGAGGATGTCTCGCTTGTAAACCGAAACAACTGACTAGTACAAAAACAAACCTGCAACAGTTGTTTGTCAATGAACTAATCAATTAATTGACGAATCATTTGCTTTATCCTATTTGAAATTGAGTTCAGAGAAAAGCAGAAGAGATCTTTGAGATCGTTGCTTGATGAATGCCTTACGGCAGCTGTATTTAACATCGGGAACATTGATATAGCAGCAAACAACTATTTGCTATGTGAACATATGATGTTCTCCGAGCTTCACCTTACTTGGTTTAACCAGACGGGCCGGCCGTGCATGCGTTTAGTGCATGTTAGTGCACGTGAGCGTGCCCCAGTGGCCTTCGCTCCGCACTGTGGTCATTAATGGAAGCAATCGAAAAGCTCCCAACCTCGGAACTGACCGATGAGTAAGTCAATCACCACATCAATGTGATTTGAATCATTTGCAGAGGCATTGTTAATAGCTATTTGATCCTCTTTCACTGGAGCAGATTACACATTACCTTTAATTACATGACATTACCATCTGCAGGTGGCAGAAATGTAGACGTCAAATAAAGATGAAGGATTCCAGAGTGGGAGCATTCTGATTGCCTCTCAACGGCTCTCAACATGGTGACGGCGAGATTATCGAGTTACATTAAAAGTCAAAATCCAGTCGGCTACTCCGAGGAAAGACTTGCAGTGTTGTATGTCAACATTTGGCCACTGCCAGATAAAACCACGACTTCTCTGTAGCGTTCGCCTCCTTCAACTGACTATTTGCCCTGAAATAGGTCAAGAACACACTTTGATTGAGCCTCAACATCATAACAGAAGCAAACGTGTTCATTTCCCCGGGTCCGAGGTCGCACAACAAATTTCTCATTTGGATCCCAGACCGAAGCTGTTTAATAACTCCTGCCTCTAATCCATACAAGTGCCAGAGTTCAAATCCACTTTGTGGCTTTTCTCTTTGCTCGTTCCTTTGTCCGCTTTTCCACTGTCCAAATGAACAGCAAACACCCGCCGGGGAGCGACATGAAGTCTTGGCAACTCTGCGTTTCAAGCACCTACTGAAGAAGCTCTGGAATTCTGGCAAAGCCGAGGTGCCAACTTGTTCTAACCTGTGTCTGCGAGTCTCTTCCATGGGCCACAGGGGTCCTCTGCTCGGTTGAGGTGCAACGTTCCCCTCTAATCCCTCTGCTGCTGTTCGATAAGCCCTTCAGTGCTTGCTTTGCTGCTTTCTTCGCTGTAATCCTGCCTGAATAAAGCGAGAATAAACGAGGAGGATGGTCTACAAAGTGTCTCAGACTGACGGGATGGACAGCGTCGCTCCCTAAGCATCCCCTCAATCAGCACAACCAAGAGGATCTGATCCATCCGTCTCTGGACTCTCCACAAACAATGCTTTAGATATCAAACTGAATGATTCTAATCGTTGAAAATAAGAGATGAAATGGATGCTAAATAATGCTGAGCAAATGCGATAGTCAGATGTTTGAAAAGAATGAATAGAAACTGATAATCATGGTGTAAAAGCAGGAATTACAGGAAATGCTACGATGTCAAAAACACCCAGTGATACAGCAGCACGGCATCGAACACACATCACTTTCAAATGAGGGATTGCTCGGCAGGTGTGGTCCACTGCCGTCTCCATTCCTTTTCCATTACTCCCTGTTTAAAGATTGCTTGTGGGGACAATTTCCCACCTGTCTGAGAATCAGAGACCAGGGGCTTGCAGGGCGGTAAAACCCTCCACCCTGCATGTGCACACGGAAATGTCCCTGAAGGCGCATCTCGTGTGACGCTATAGCATCTGGCTTTGCCCAGTTTCTCCAATGCGATGATCTCATAACTTGCAGGGGCGCATGATGCCACAGAGCGTTCGGGAGGCCGAGTGTTATGAACACGGTTAACTGACGAGAAGCGAGAAACAGGAAACTCCCCCCA